TTACGGATTGATTTCATTAATATAAATTATAGATATTGATGGAAAATATATGTTTCGAATTTCTGTCATATTAAGTCTGATGACAGCAGTTGGTCGCCCAATATAATCTTCTTTATAATAAAATTAGAGTTAATAATACTATCAACATAATTCGCTGCAAAATGCGATCAGAAATTATTCAAATCAAGCAAATTGGCAAGTTCGATGCATACGGAATTTGTCCGTGGCATTTCTAACTTCATTATAGGTATTTATGAATTGCTTCCTTGATTCGAGCATCTATAGAAGCTAAATAGATACATCACGATTATCAGTTATTTAATAAAAGAACCAGCAAAATTAATTAAAATATATACAAAAGAGACTCAAAAGATAGAGGTAGTTACTCAAATTGTAAATTTTTTATTATGAATGGAAACGCATTTTAACTACATGTTCTTCTTGAATGAATGAGGATCATAGAATAAATTTCTGTGACATCAATAGCGCTGTTTAATATCCTAGTCAATAGTTCATCAAATATGCCGCCTACGCATTTGTTATTCAACAAGAATTGCCTCTATCATCATTTTTAAGTGTTAAGAATGATGGATTTTTAAAAAATATATTACAACCTCATTACAATTGCAATATATTTTTGACAATTTTTGTGTGATTTTACAAGATCACTTATTTGAATCATCATCATTTTCTTGCCTTTTCTCATTTATTTGGGGTTGGCGCAGTATGTTTTCTTCTTCCACTAATCTCTATCAACTGTCTTTTTCAGGCTCACTCCTCTTTTATGCATATCATCTTTCACACAGTCATCTATCTTTTTTTCAGTCATCCCATTCCTTTACATTCATCCACTTTCATAGTTAACACTTTCTTTAAATATAAAAGTAGATAGATAGAAGAAGAAGATAATTCTAGTTTTAAAATTAAAATTAACTTATTTTAATTTAAATTTTTTTTTCATTACAAATACGAAACAAGGTAATGCTAACTTAAGGGATATTCTAGTGTAGAAATTTGAAAAAATCGATTTTTTTTATTTAATATTTTCAAAGCTCAGCCTTTAAAGAATATGTCCTCAAAAGGATTAGTTAAAATTTTAATTATTTCTAGAGATATTTTAGTGATACGACTTCACTATGATACTGGGTCGGCCGAAACGAATCGAACGAAAGGCATTAGGGATCATCTGTTTAGAAGAAATGCAGAAAATGCTTTTTTTTAATAGAGAAAGGCCCCATGTATAGAGCAGGAATCGCGGAATGAAGAAATATAAGTATAAAAGTTCATTTTATGGTTGACACCGGGCGTAATTTTACATTTACCCGAAAAATTTTTCCAAGTGTTTGGCATGATTTCTCAAGTTCTACTGAACCAATTTACTTGAAATTTAATGTAAGTCTTCTCAATACATGTTTCTATCGCACTAACTATTATTATAACAATTTTTTTTTTTACTATTTTTAAAAAATTTAGAAAAGTTAGAAAAATAGAAAAAGTGTATCATTTTTTCGGATAGCCGTAATTTAACAAAAAATATTTCCCACTTTTACTTAGTACGATAGCAGCATTTATCTACATTAATAATCTTTTTTATTTTTTTTTGTTTCAGATATATTTTTGTATACCCCACTTCAACAACAGATAATATTTTCAAGTTTGTATTGTTTAACTATTTTTTTATTCTTAAAACATTAATGAACACCTGTTAAAAAAAATGGATAGTAAAAATATTTTTTTGTTTTTTTTTATTTAAAGTACCCGAAAAAATACCTCATATTCATGCCTCTACATTAGAATACCCCCTTAATGGAAAGTGTTAAACATCATCATATGATATAAACAGCATTGTGAACATAACAGTGTGATTTTGTGATATCACAGTGTCACATACATTGATATCATATGAATGTCACAGTCAACATTACTCCCACTGGTACACACTCCCTCATATGGTATTATTTCTAAAGATAAAGGTGTCATGCCTTCATATTACATAATCTCATGGCTAGGAATTATTCAAACAGAACGCTAACTACTATTGACATACATACCACAAACATACATACGCTTGACTATTCTAGACTATTATACACACATTATATATATATATATATATATATATATATATATATATATATATATATATATATATCTACCAAAACGACCCTTCACCTTTCCTCAAAGATCTCTTAACATATTCTATTAATGTCATACATATAACACAATTTATTCAATGTCAATTTGCATATTCCTATATGCCATATTTAATGCAGATTGTCTTATTTTATTTTTTAAATCAATAAAGTGCACTATTCCTTATTGAGTAAAAAACAATACTATCTTCACATTGTAGCAAACAATACATAAACCTCTCATAAAGCTATTTTAGCTATTAAACTATTATGTCTCTTTTAATTAAATTAAATTACCAATTTGAAAGAAAGCGATAAAACAGTATAATAGTTTAAATATAAAAAGGTTTTACTTTTTATGAAGAAGGAGGTTAATCTGTATGTTTTTTACTATTAATAGGTCCCGTGAATGACATCGATGTCACCTGTTAAGCATTTTTACTCATTTTTTTTTATTAAATAATTTAAAGTAATACTTTAAATTACAATGTCTTTCCAATCAAATTTATAAGATGCACTGTTAACCTTAATCTTCCTGTCCTGTATTTGTGGCTCGTAATAAAAACGGGATTTACCACTGTCATCACGTTTTCTGTATGTCACAGCATCACAACGTTTGCAAATTAAGTATAATCTTCATGAGAATTTACAGGAAAATGTTACAAGGGCAACCTTCACAAAAAATGTAATATACAACACGCTGATAAACTGGATTCAACTTATTTTTCACGCATGTACAAGTATATATGTATTGTTAACTTATAACTATCTAAAATATGAAATTGTACTGTCGCTTTTATAGAGCTTAACGTAACTTGTATAGAATTTTATTTATGTGACATCCTTGTAGTAATTTTTTATATATTATTACAAATCTTTTATCATCTCCAAATTTACATCAATTTTCAGCCAAAATCTTTGAGGTGAATATCGCGGTTATTATAATAAGATGGAGTATTATTTTTTTAAATAAAATATTACCATATCTTCCGGCGTATGTAGGACTATGTTAAGTCAAATTGCGGCAACGTAAATGAACAACGGGTCCGTCGCTACCCGCAACGCGGTAACACTTGACGCTCACAGTTATCGTGTGTTCCAGATAGCAATTAAGCTACCCGTCAATTACACAGGAGTAATTTTAGCGTCATATAATACAACATTTGTGTATAATACAAATTAAATGTTTGCCATAGAAATAGAATTTAATAAGATGTTTTGAAGAGTTTGTTAAAATACTTTAGCGACGTTTTGAAGTTGTCCTTCAGAAATAGATACGTTACATTATCTCTGTCCTTCAAGAGGAATAGAAACTATACTTGAAATTGTCTATTGCATGTTTTGAATAATATTATGTAATCATAACAATATATGATTATATTCCTTGGTCCTTAGGCTATGTGAAAAATTCCCAAAATTAATAAATAAAAATAGAAAAGATATTTTTCAGAACTTTATTCGTGATCATGATTAGTGTAATCTAATGTAAACTTCAAGTACGGTAAATAAATTACTTTAAATTTTTTTTTAATAGTATATGGTTACATAGACAAACAACAATTATTTCAAATTATTATTGTTTAATGAAGCAGCTTTTTATACTATCTAAACATTTTGTTGTAACTCGTCACTAGAGGGCGGTGTAGCACATCAAATTCTATATGATTCAATTGATCGTAATGGTAATTGAAATTTTATCAATACAAAGTTGTTAAGTTATTATATTAGTTATTAAACAGTGCTGGATAACCAGTTTCTATACCATTTAACCAACATTGGTATACAGAGGTATTTAAGCACGAAAAATGTTTCGGCCCTGTTCGTTTTTTGGTGTATCTCGCCACTAGATGGCGCTACGGTTATCAACATCTACAATAAAAATAATACGGTATTATATATACAGATAGAAATATTGTAGATATATATGCAAATAAATACAGATGTAAATTAATATTGCATGCATGCACAATGCACGCGTAAAAAACAATGATAAGTTTTGCCAATTAGCCATATTTATTTGACTATTCAAGTTGTTTCCAAATCTATTAAGATCTTCATAATAAAGGATTATGTTATATAATATTTTCTTAAGTACATATTACGATGTGGTATCTTGTTAGTATATAAGATCAAATTCCGATTTATACATAGCAAAACACACTGCACTTAGCTAATTACTTTAATTAAAGGGTAAATATATCCTGTTAAGCTTTTAATTGAAATAATTGACTAAAACATCATCTGTCTTATTTATTTATATTGAATAGGTATTCCCTAACGTAAAAACTGGAATACGTTTTGTCAAATCTGATTAATTAATTTTATAAAAAACAGCTTGACCCTATGTCAATATCGTGCAGAATGTAGAAATCGCAGACACTTAGAAGGTAAATTTCACAAAAAAAAATATTATATATGATTTTTTATTAAATACCTAATCAAATTATATTCTGATGAATAAAATTAATTTAAACTACCACACAAAGTTACGGACGCAGCGAGTATATTATGATTTTGAGACAAAAAATATTAACTTAGTAAAACATAAATAGGAAAACTTCATTACTTACGCTACGCTACATTACAGTTTCGTAGCGGGCTCTACGCAAATTCTATTCTATTAATAAAATCATCATGCAGTGAAGTCGGTCATGAACGAAATTAAAAGCTTTATCTACTTGTAATAACATTTTCCTATTTAAAAAAAATTACTAAACTTTACCTATATGAATAAATTATTACTTTTTTTTTTAACTTATTGCATTAACTGAAACTTTGAAAGTAAATTAAACTTTACTAAGTTTTAAAAACTCTACAAAAAATATTAAAATTGTTCTAATAATATATAATATAACAAGTTATACTTACTTTCTTATACAATCGAAGACAACGATCAAAGTGACACAGCACAATCATGAGTTCAAATTGTTGTTCTCTTATAACTACACGATGTCAATCCATCACAGAAGTTCATTAAGTTCGTAACATATTGTTTTATTGTAGATTAATATGAATCATTAAACAATATAGTTAATTATAAGGTTGTAACACGTGGGTGAGCGAGCGCGGGAAATCGGAAATGTTAGCGCCAAAACTGGCGTCTCCCGAGACCACCATCCCACCCCGTGTTCAACAATATACTGACAACTGTCACCGGGTACCCTGCCGGCGTTTTGCTCGCTTTTACTACGAACGCTTTTCCTCTTTTGCCCTATCTTGCTTTAACGAAAATTTATATACACATACAAGTGTACTTACACACATGGACGACAACTTTGTTCGGGTCCTGATTCTATATTTTTGCGCTGTTGTGTGCACCGACTGCGCATATGTGCGCGTTGTCCGTAAAGACGCATCTTCACGGAGTGCCAATGCGTTGTTGCACACAATAATAGCTCATTTTCATAAATATAGTCTTATTTACTGGCGAACAGAGCTGAATTTTGTTTATCATAGAAAAACTTATGTTCATTCAGAGACAACGTTTTGACTGAATTGCGCATGTCCGTTATCAATCTTACGATCATGGAACTACGAAAACTATTGCTGTCCTTATTTTTCTTTAAGTTTTAATGTAAATGTTTCAAGTTTTATATGATACTTTAATTATATCCTGTATTCGGATGCAATAAATAACATATATAATTAATTAAACTACTTAATAACTTCGTTATCTTAATCATTCATTATAGTCTTAAAAATTAGTTAACAGTGCTTATTTTACTTTTGATAACGAAACACGACATGAGTTAGTTATATAGAGAAACAGTTCCTTAAATCTGATTTTAGGATGTTGATCTGATTCGAATAATTAAATGAAATTACAGTGAAATCCACTAAGTGGGATCGTGCCCTAATTTGGTAAACCCAATTTGTATTATTACAAATTCTCCCTAAATTATATCTGTGATTAGATGAATATCTACTATATCATTTAATATAAATATATTATTGAATCTATTACATTTCATTCATTGTAAACAAAATAACTTGATAATAATTTTATGTCATACACAACTTTCCGTCGTTATTAATCGCTGTACCTTAAATGTATCCCTCAATAAAATAAATGTAAATAATGTAAGATACGTCTTAAAAAATATTCCCGTGTTTCGGTATCCATACATACAGTCACTCTTGTTTTCCATTTGGATAGTCAGAAACAATGGAACGCCAAATGCTCTAATTCAAACAGACCTTTTGCCTCTTCCACTTCGTTTGTATGAATTAATATATTTATGAATATCAATATATTCATTCACACAAATTCGCCGGTTACGAATTCTTTTAACTTGGCCTTTTTCAGCATATTAACTACTTTGTCGACTTACGTCCATAGGACGGCCCCTCCACTTATTTTCTCAATGTGTCTCCTTCGTAATGATTCTTTTATCTATCCTTTTTAAATAACAAAATTAACACATTATTATTTCAATTTATATTATTTTATAATCTCTTTTGTCTCTTTTTTTAAATTGGTTTGGTTTGAAAAAAGTAAAAAAATAAAATACCATCGCAAGAGGATGAAAACTAGAAATAATATTCATAACAAGCCACCTGGCCAATATCATTACACTAAAAGTCCTGTATACCCTCCTGTGTAGATAAACTTATTCCTAACAGTAAGACTATGTACTAAATTCTGTTTGTAGTCAATAACAACAATAAGTATTTATTGATAAGAGCTTCACTTATCTTGTAGTTTCTATATTGATATTCTTGAATATTACTGGCTATAATATACGGATAATCGATAACAAGTATATTTACTAAACAAACCAATCGTATATATACCTACTACGTCACAAACAAACAACATTTAAAGTCGCCAACCGCGCGAAGTTGCCATCTCAAACTAAACAGAGACAAAACCAACAGACGGGGAAAATAATTTCCTTACAACTAAACATGATATTAACCGGGAGATAAGATGAGTGAAGTACTCTTTTCGAGCAGGGGGCGTTTATACAAAGCTATGAATAACAATTTACCGAAGAGCTGGGAGCGCAAACACTTGAGCGTGGAAGTTTGTTTCCAAGTGCCCAAAACTCGCGAACAATACAGTCACATCGAGCTACGAACTGTGGAGTGGACTGTGTAGGGTAGCGGTCGTGATAAAACTGTTGTGGATATTACATAAACATATATTTTGTTGGGGAGAAAACAAAATGTTATAATATGCCTATCAAGGGAGATGTTAGGATAGATATAGGCGAACTCATATCGTTTTCAAACCAATTTACAAATTTTGTTTTTCCTAATTAACTCAGATCTTTCTGCTTTGAATCATAGATCTAAATATCTATTATTTCTTATCTATTGTCCCATTAATATTTAATCTGATTAAATTAGAATATGAAAATAAATATGTATTATAAAAGTAATTAACTTTTCTCTCATCTCTTCCCTTTCTCTCTTTTCTGATTTTTTATTATCATTTCTTCTGACGTACTATTATTATTACATAATGAATAAAATATAAAGCTGATACCTACTGACTTACTATTAACATACTCTTTGCCTTTTACTATACGAGGTTTGTCCGGAAAGTACGTATAAAAGTTTTTTAAAAATTTTATTTTACAATTATTCAGGTAAATCAATTTTATCCCCTTCAAAGTACTCCCCCTGTGACATAATGCACTTGTGCCAACGCCGTTTCCACTGTGAGAAGGCTCCTTGAAAGTCCTCTGGTTGTAGGTTTCTCAGCTGCCCCGTCGTAGCTTTTTTTATCTCATTTATGTCCCCCAAATGCCGCCCCCGAAGTACCAATTTGGTTTTTGGGAACAAGAAGAAGTCACACGGGGCCAAATCCGGCGAATAGGGGGTGTTCGGTCACCGTAATGGAATTTTTACTCAAAAACTCACGGACAACAAGAGAGGTGTGGGCAGGGGCATTGTCGTGGTGAAGAATCCAACGCCCCTCTCGCGCCAATTCTGGACGAACTCGTGCCACACGAGCTTTGAGGCGTCTGAGCACATCGACGTAGAATTTTCCATCAACTGTCTGGCCTGGAGGGACGAATTCTTGATGGACAATCCCCCGAACATCGAAAAAAACAATCAACATTGTCTTGACATTTGAGCGGGATTTTCTTGATTTTTTTGTTCGTGGTTCCCCGGATGTCTTATCGAATTAGATCGGCAAAAATTTCACGGCCATTCTTGCCGAGTTTCGAGAGAAACTTGATTACGACGCGCTGCTCTTCAACGGAAGCGAGCTCCATGCCGACGGGGTTTCGTTAAGAGGTAACTTCACAGATGGCGTGACAAGCCAGTTCGCACCGCACGGCGGTCAGACCAGAACTGAAGCATTGTTAGGGACATAAGGAAGGGGTCCTGCGCTTACCTGGCCTCCCCACTCCTCTTTCTCGCATTCCAGAACACTTTTATACGAACTTTCCGGACAGACCTCGTAATTATTCATATTCCGTGAATTTCTAAAGATAGTATTTAGATCAACATTTAAGTTTTAAGTTATTCAATAGTATAACACTATCCTCGACATTTTAAAGTACTTTTGTTATTATATTATTCATAGCTCTACAAAATAAACAGTCAAGTATTTCTGCCGCTTGAACCGCCTTTATAGATGTCACTTTGTCACACTTTGTCGGAAGTTCAACGGCTTCATACACAGATTTAAATGTTATTTGCTCTAATTTTCTCATTTAATTCGCACAGCTTATTTTTTTTTATTTTACACATACACAAAAGAAACAAATTTTAATTATTGAAAATATTTCATCAAATTGTCGATTAATTCTGAGCATAAAAATCATCCCAAGGCAATGATTAAATCTCTCTATTAAATAAAATAATTATATATTGTCAATTAATGTTATAGATATTTGCATATTTAATGACAGTACTGAAATTTGAAGTATAACTAACTAATATAATCGTTATATTAATTTAAGATTTTTCTATATGTAGTACCCATAGTCCAACTGCTTAATTTGAGACTAAATGACATTATTTGAAATATCAGCTATATTTATTCAATTATTTTATTAGTATCCTATAGAAATGTATATTAAGATTACATGTAATCCTTAAAATAAAAATAGTATATCTAATAGACTTATAGTTTATATTAAGTAGGTAGACTTTACTTAAATTCCTAATTTAGTATTGAAATACGAGTGATATGTACAAATAACACCTCCCAAATATTTAGTTATTTCAGTTTTATATACCAGACTTAGTCAAATGATCAATGACGTGAAAATAATTTAAATCTAAAAAAAGATTTCGTAATCTTAAACACGTAAATATTTTTTTTTGCAAAAATTTCTCTATTTATGTCAGTTACCTGTAATTTAATCAATACGTTTAGCAGAAAAAAAAGCTTTAGTTATATCTTATGAAATATCTAAATTAAAAACTCTCATTTCTTTTAAAGAACGTAATTATATTTTTAAATGGGAGTACCGAATTGCTAACATTCAATTTAACGTTCACGAAGCTATGACTTCAGGGGTTGTTGTGTCAGCAGAAAAACTTGTTAAAGTCTTTCCTGCAAAGAAAGAGTTATGAAAACGGCAACTTTGGGACCCTTGCAAAAAAAAACGTAGACACTTCCCTCAACTTCCAGTCTTGAACTGGATTTTATAAATATTAAAATCTAAGCGTACCCTTCTCAAAGAAGAAACTATATATTTTCTTTCGTAGTCGTGTTTTAAAACTTTCCTTATTGAAATAGTCAACGTTAAATATATATTATATTTCTACGCTCACACATTATACACGTAATATTTGAAATTAATAATAGCATAGACTAATTTTCCGTTCCAGTTAGTTAAGAAGTCTCATAAAAACTAGTGATATATTTTTTCTTTATTTTTCTTTTCTTTTTTCCGTTTTATTTTATTTTTTATTCTTTTTATTTAATTAATTCTCTCTTATGTCATTAATTCAAATAACACTGTTAAACGCAATAAAGAGAATATAACCATCACGCTACATAATATCATTTTTTGACAAATAACAGTCAGTATTTACCGTTATAAGAAATCACTCCCCTAGTTTATATAGCATAATTTATGTTTGTAAATAAAAAAACGCCACGTCTACTAAAAGGTATCTTTAAATATATAATTGATCCTTAGTTGTTACATTAAATGCTGCAACAACTTAAGAGGAACCAAGCACAGTTCTACTTAATCATAAGTTGTAATAATATATAGATTAA